TACAGTAAATAGATTTTGTGGTATACAAATTATACTTCAATAGAGCTTTTTAAAAAATCATTCAAATAAAAAGTCAATTTACAGATTAGGAGAAGATAATTAAAATTTATACAATCATAGAAAAATTATAATACAGAATATATATGTCCATAAGTAAATATATGTGCATGTGTATGTGTGTGTGTGAACTCTTATAAATCAACTATACATAGAAAACAAAATTTTAAAAAAGGGGAAGTGGCAAAAATTATGAACAAGCAATTCACAAAGAAAACCTGAACAGACAAAAATAAACATCTAAGAGATAACATATCTCATCATAATTAAGAAAATATAAATGAAAACCACAAGAAAGGAGCAAATGCTGGCAAGGATATGGAGCAACAAGAATTCTTATCCACTACTGGGGAGATCATAAGTAAGTACACTCCTTAGAGAGCAGTTTGACAATGTTGAAGATGCACATTCCTCATCACCAAGTTATTCCATTTCTGGACACCATGTAAATTCTCACACATATTTCATAATACCTTAATTTTTTAATTTTAAAATTATACAGTGATTCCAGTTCCAGGAAGCTTAATGTGGCTTCAGTTCTGGTGACAAGAAAACCATATGGTATATTAGAAATACAGTGTATTTATAATAACTTGGAAAAAAAGTACAATATAAATAAACATCACATGAAAGGCTAAAAATTCAAGAAACTATAATTTCATGGTGTTTTTAGATTATATAATTAGTGGTAAATATTACAATATGATATTGCAGAATTTCTTTGTCCTTTAGAAGTTCTGATGAAATGTTATTATGAATGGTAATTTTCAATTGAATATTTTGCCCATCTTAATAAGGTTTTCTAACCTGTACTCCTTTAAATCGCATTTTTTCTAAAACATGTCTTTCTATATCTTTCTTGCATAAACATCTTTGAACAAATCTCCATACTTTTAAAGACAAAATTGAAGTTCCTTTAACAGAAATTATCTGTTCCTACTTACATCACTTCTGCACCCCTGATTTTATTCTTACACACCCCCAACGCATCCAGATCCACTGGCCTTATGTCTATTTCTCTTTATCCCAAGCAGTCTTACTTCTGTTCATCTAGTGAACTTTCGAAAGTGAATCAAAACACAACTCAAGCATGGCCATCTCTCGACATCTTTCCTCTTCTTTCCTCATCACCTGTTCTAGTTTGCTGCTCTTCTGCGCTTTCCTCCCCAATGCCCTCTGCATTTTTCTATTATATAAATCATACTCTACTGTATTTGTTTTTACTTATTTATTTACTTAGAAGTCTCTGCCATTAGCCAGAACATTATATGTTTTTAATTGGCTTTTATCACCTGTATCAAGCAGAATTTCTCATAATTTGAGTCAATTAATCCATTTTGAGTGAATAAATGGATGAATCATATTCTTTAAAATAAGTAGATGCATAGATGTGATCTTTCCCAGTTCATATTTTGGGGGATGTGTTTTAAGGGCTGTGTTAAAATTGTAGGATCTAAATTCCAAAAGCATTTTGCAAAATCACTCATCTACTATAAAATTTTTGGCCGAAACCGGTTTGGCTCTGTGGATAGAGCGTCGGCCTGCGGACTGAAAGGTCGCAGGTTCGATTCCGGTCAAGGGCATGTACCTGGGTTGCGGGCACATCCCCAGTGGGAGATGTGCAGGAGGCAGCTGATCGATGTTTCTCTCTCATCGATGTTTCTAACTCTCTATCTCTCTCCCTTCCTCTCTGTAAAAAATCAATAAAATATATTTAAAAAAAAAAAAAAAAAAAAAAAAAAAAAAAAAAAAAAAAAAAAAAATTTTTGCAAACTTCAAAAATAAAATTTAAGGAAGACTGTAGTTATATTTATAGTACAGATGGTAATTTTACTATGATAGATGCAGAGTAAGCATGGCATACTTAAAACTATAAAATAACTTTAGCTGGTTTGGCTCAGTGGATAGAGCATCAGCCTGCGGACTGAAGGGTCCCAAGTTTGATTTCATTCAAGGGCACATGCCCAAGTTGCAGGCTCCATCCCCAGTAGAGGGCGTGCAGGTGGCAGCTGATCAATGATTCTCTCTCAACATTGATGTCCTATCTCTCTCTCTCATGATCCCTTCCTGTCTGAAATAAATAAAAATGTATTTTATAAAACTATAATATACGTTTGCATTGTTTTAATTTGCTGTTTCGTTTGATTATTTCAATGTGTATTACATTTTAAAACTTAAATAAAAAGGACTTTATATAACTCCTCTGGGCTCTAAGATTTTAATGATGAGTCATAGGAGACAATTTAAATTGTTTCTGACTCAGAGCAGTATAGATGAACTAATAATCTGAATATGTGACTGTTATTAAAGACTGTGAACTGATTTTAACTATACTGACTTTTTAATTTTTTATAATGAGATGGAAGACATATTACTCAATACTTCTTGCTGTCTTTATTGTCACTTAACTTGTTTCCCATAAGATTATTACTAAGAAGTAAATAACTATACATTAACTTTCAACTATTTTTATCCTCATCTGAGGATATGTGGTTTGTTTAAATTGATTTTAGAGAGAAAGAGGAGAGAGAGAGAGGAGAGAGAAACATTGATGTAAGAGAGAAGTCAATCAGCTTGCTTCCCGTAAGCACCCCAACCCAGAACCAGCCTATAGGTGTACGGGACAACACTCCCAACGCCCGAGCCCCCCTGACAGGCTTAACTTTTTCTTTATAGATCTAATTTTGTTGGATATTGTAGATGATAGAGACCCATCTTAAGTCTTTTTTGGTATAAATATCTGGTGGCTTCACACCTTTACTGAAAAAACAGGTCCTGTAGTGTTTAAGAGTTATTCCTAACGTAGTTTTGTAACACTGATTTAAGCTAACATTCTTGTTAGAAAGGATAGAATAACAACAAGAAAATGTATCTGCTGATTCAGTGGAATTATGTGGAAATAACAAGAAGATTGTAAGAAGCAAGCAATTTTCTGAAAATACAAGACAACATAAACCACATGTTCAAATAGACCCTAAATCTGAGTTCTTCATCCTATTAAACAGTCTTCTGTTATCCATATTATAGAAAATTTCACTTAGTAGATGTATTCCCTTTGTCCCTGGGATATGTTGAATGTGGTGAATTAGGAGGCAGTATATTTTTTGGTGGTTATAAATAAACACCAAAAAATAAGTTACCACAGCTCTCAGTGACTTTTCTGAAAAAATGCTTAGCGTTTTTCTCCGAATGAGTAATCGGCTGTGTGTTTGAGGCTGCCCTACATTTACTCTGTTCTTGGACCTGCACATATGTGCTCCTGAAGGACTGAAAGAATTCTGAGTAAAGGCCTTTACTGAATGAATGTCAATTATTGTTAGACTTTTTTAGAGTTCAGATTTCAGAATTGTTGCCATGTACACCAGGTTCTAAAAACTAGAATTGATTTTAAAGTGTTTTCTTGGTCTTCAGTTTTCAAGCATAAGCAAAGAGTTAAAGTGGAAACAGATGATTAGAAAAAAACATGGGATGAGCATGCTGTTTTTTCTGCAATAGGAGTGGTTTTGTTGTGAAGAAGATGTCCTCATGGAAAATTCCAGTTTTACTGTCTACTTTACAATTAGCCCCCAATTTAAACCTGAATTTTCTTGGTATTTTTACCCCCACCCCCTTATTTTCTTTTCTATTGAAGTTACTTGTGTCTAGGTCTTCTTATCTTCACCTACACCATTTTACTAGTCTTCCTACTTTATTGACAGATGTATTTCCCTCAAAAGCCATCCTATATTTATTAGAGGGTTAAAGCTCCCAAAAGTTTTGCTTTACATTTGTTACTCCTCGGTTTAGAAAGAGTCAAAAGCTAGTTTGGCTTCTCAGGACATTCTTAGACTGGGTCCAGATCTGACTTTTGTAGCCCATGAGGTTTGCATATCTGGGCCACGCGCTCCTGCTGTATACTACGTGTATTTTTGATTGCACTTTGCTCAGGAAGTTCTTAGCTTGGAACGTGTTCATTTCTACACTTACCTAAAAGCAACCCTTTCCTCAAAACCCCCGCCAGGCTTACTTCCCACATAAAGCTTTTCACAGCCACCAGAACAAAAACGGCTCCCTCCCTCCTGAAGCCCTGTCACGTGTATTGTGTTCTGTAATGTAAGTGCTCCTCTGCTGTCCTCTGAGAGCACCTCTGCCCTAGACTTTACCATGGGCTTAGATAATTGTTGTTTCAGGGTTACAGTTGTTGTTGACATTACGTTTTATATTTTGTTTTATATTTTTCATTAAACTATGAGTTCCTTGATGGCTGCGTTACCAGTGCTTTTTCTCTGTGCATCTTTAGTGCCGAGAAGGGGAACATAGTAATTATCTGACTGATGCTTACTAGAAATGAATTAAGTAGAATCAACCACTTGTATACATTTATTTGTAACATTTTTATCTTTGTATGTAACCTTCATCTCATCAAATTTTCAATGTCTTCGACACTTCAGTTCTGTAATATAAACACTTGGAGAATAAATCTCATAGTTAATCCCTCTGGTATCCCTGTGCCTAGTACCATGTCTTGAAAATATTACAAAAAAAGGAATGTTTGTCAATAGACTGACTTCACAGAAAAGAGATATCTGAGTAATGGAGTGATTCGTTTCTATCTCTATTCAAAACACAAAAACAAATTGGGAAATCATATTTTTCCTTAAAACAAATTCTGAAAAAAGTAAGACTATCATAAAAATCTATTTTTCCATACAACCTTATGGCCTATGAATTTATAATGCACAATATTTCAAATGTGCTTACTAGTACGTTTACTTCTTTCCTCACATGTGATAGAGTGCTCTCTTCCTCTCCCCATTGTTTATGAGAAATGCTTAAAAATAAGTCAAAAACTGTAGCCTCTGTCTGGCACTGAGCCATCCACCTAGTACCAGATTGTCCCTTTGGTTACATTTTTCTTTCTCAACAGTTTATATTTACACACTTTCTTTCCATTTAAATTATAGCTCCTCCACAGTTTGTGGTTAGGCCAAGAGATCAGATTGTTGCACAAGGTCGAACAGTGACATTTCCCTGTGAGACTAAAGGAAATCCACAGCCAGCTGTGTTTTGGCAGAAAGAAGGCAGCCAGGTGAGTGTGAGCATCGCCTGCTTCTGTGAACCCCCCTGTCTTTGGTGAGCCTCAAATTTGCTTTGTCTTTCTTGTTATCAATGTTGAATTTACTTTGTTTCTAAGAATGGAACCGATTCATTTTAATATAAGTGGGAATTAGATGTTCCAGTGTTGGTTTTCTAAAATTCTGTATCTTATATAGAATAAATACAATTCCATGTAACGAACGATCTTTAATTCTAACCAAAACCTGTCACTATTTAAACTTTCTGAACAGAAAAGTTATTTCGTTTTCTTGCACTGAACTACCCTGAAATGGTGAGACAACATACAGCACTTAGAACATCCTGTCAATATACATTTCCGTTATTAAATTGCCAGGAAACAAATTTCAGTTACCTTTCCTAGGTAAATAGTGTAAATAACTTTTTCTTTATTATTAGGTTAAACATGCTTCTATTTAAGTGTGGGAAAAAATATTTTGTTCCATCAATCTTTCTAGATTCCTTCACAGTAGGGGTGGACAGGCAATAATACATTACAAACTGGAAGCAACTAACACTTTGGTCTTTGCTGTGCACTGGTTTATCCTCTCTGAGCAGCAGGTTTCTCAGATTCTCTGCTAAAATTCAATTGGATGCACAATTTTTCTCATTTAAGACTTGGTCCAAACTGTGATGAACACTCAGCCTCGAGGAGCTGAGGTTATGTTTGGAATTTCCGGCTTCAACCAGATCAGAAATTGGGTTCTTTGTCTAAGAACTTATCTGTACATTCCTGAAGGACCTAGAGATATTTTTTCTAGATGTTCCAAGACCATCGCCACGGAGACATGTAGTTCTCAGGAAGAAGCCTGTAGTGCTCCTCCTCAGCACCTTCTGCTATTTGGCCAAATCCTGGAAGAATTTTCTGAGGAACAATGGAAACCACGATTATCAGGAAATCTAAAAACTTTGATTTTAGATACGTATGGGGCGCCACAGCCTTTATTAAGAGAACCTGTTGCTCAGAACTCAGGCATGACCATGTGGGTAGCGAGGCATCAGGAAGTTCCCTCAGTGGTCTTTTTAATTCTTTGGGCTCCTGTATGTTCCCGGTACACCCTGAGCCAGCCGTTTTATAAAACTTGACCTGGATGGACAAATTGTCTCTCCTCCCTTCCTGAATGCACCGAATGCAGTCACTCCCCTATGATCTGTGGGGTGTAAAAGTAGTGAGGGGAAGATAATATAAAGTGCTGACCACTGCCTATCTAACATTGGAACTGTTCCAGGCCTTGTTTCCTATCTTTTTTAAAATCACTTTGTAACTATAAAATTGATATCTACACATAGAGTTCCTCAATTCTTCACTTAAAAATTGATTTTGGATAAAAGCATCACACACTCTAAACTCAGTGTTAAATAACATGACCTTAGCTATAACACACACACACACACACACACACACACACACACACACACACACGGGAAAAGGAAAGAATTCTAAAGCCATTTTCCCTTTTGTGAATGTACAATCTTTGCAGCACTATTCATCTTTACTGAAATTTTCTTAACCTAAAATATGAGGATAATACATATTACTTCACATAAGTTATGGAGATGTCATAATTTAGTTAGTTTATATAGAAAAGTGCCTTACATATTATGAAGGTCAACAAGATATTATTTCTAACATCTGGTTAGAAATGGGAAAATGCAGAATGCACCCGCCCCCCACTGAGTCCTGGCTACGGGGCAAGTTCATGCTTCTGCTCAGGTGAAGGCTGCAGGGCCTGAGGTCTTCCTCCGCCTGGACACTGTTGTCCAAGACCAAGGAGCGGCTCAGCACTGCTCCGGTCCCCTCTGCTCCCAGACCCACACAGGCCTGGGAAGGCTGAGGCCGGGAGAGAAATAAATATTATTTATTTATAAACGATGCAGGTAACATGATGTAAAACAATTTGATTGTGGCAAATCTACACTGTAAGTCCATGTATTGAGTCAAACACTATTGTAGCATGTTTTGTTATTATATGGATACAGCTATATCATGTGTGAATCCCATGCCCTGAAATAGCTCCCGGTTATAAAAATATTGCATAAAATGTGCTTTGTTCCCATGGCCAAATAAACATGATATTTTAATATGCTACATGGTGTTTTAATGGTGCTGAAAAACTAATGATTAAATAACTTCAGAGCATTTCTTCTTCTGTTATTTGACAAATCATTATGTAATTCCATAGACGTTAAATTTTCCAGTTAGATGATCTGATTTGCTTATAATCTTAGGTCTGTTTTTTTTTTTTTTTCCTTCTCTACCTGTCTTCCTCACATCAGAGAGAGAGAGAGAGAGAGAGAGAGAGAGAGAGAGAGAGAGAGAGAGAGAGAAGAGAAGTGCTGGCGCAGATTGTAAAATTTTAAATCATGAATTGGGGTATCAGGAAAAATAAATTGGTTTTACTATCTCCAGTATCCAATTTTTGCAGTGATCTATGACAATCCCTCAGAAGAGAGAGTTAAGAGCCTGGACTTAATGGTCCGTATTCCTCAATATGTGCTGATAATGCCAATTAACACTAATAGGATACCCGGGCACTTCAAAGCAAGAAGAGCTCTGTAAAATTCTGGGTTTTGCTTGTAATCCATTATCTTTTGCCTAAGTCATACAAGCAGGGAATAAAAAATGATGGGTTAACCTCAATCATATGTCATTTTCCATGTCAACGAATCATTTAGAAGGTGGACTAATATTACACTGTAGAGGAAGAGATCCCAGAGAGAATTAAACCCATCTAATGTATTAGTGCTATGTAAATCAGTATTCTAATGGCTAATTGTAGGAAAGTGCACACTTTGAGTTATTGTATCATTTTCAAGTGGCTTTAAAATTTAGACCCTTCTCTTTCAGATGGTTTATTTCAGTAATATATCTGGATTCCATGGGAGAATTAGCTTGTTCACAAATGATGTTTCATATGATAAAAATGTCTATCCTTGTATAGTAATACAAATTTTATAACAGGGCAATGGCATTTTGAAATTATGCTCCTGACATGCTAGCAAACATCACTTCTTTTAGAAAGGGTTTAACATCATGGTAATGTTTATGTAAAGTGGGCTTATGGTGTCACACTTGAATCTAATAAAGTGGACATCCATCATGTTGCAATAAAGAGAAGAGCTTCTAATTAAAGCAGGACATCATTCTCAGGATTAAAGCCATTTAGTGTAATTGAAAAGTGTTAATACCCTATTTCATCCTCTTCCATTGGTATTACTTCAAGGGTAAAAAACATTTTAAGGTGAAATGGGTCTTATGCCTTTAATTGAATTTTGTTATCTTCTTATTTTAAAGTATTGAGACTGTTTAATTACAAACCTGGAAAATTAATTACTGTATTGAGAAACAGATCGCATAGGGTTATAATGTCTGTTTTGTAAATAAATACAACATAAAATTGATATGTTCTTATTTATAATCCATCTTGGAAATATATCTCAATATAATTTATTACACCCAAATGTTTTTCTTAATTGAGTAACAGTAAAGCAACATAGGTCATGGCAGTTAATATTCCTGCTCTCATATGAAAACATTTTAAAGATTGTGATTAGTCTGCTTATATTTAATATGAGATAAATAGTAAACTAACTTTTAAAAAAGTATTATTATGAAATTTTTTTAAGATTGCACACATACTTCAGAAACAGTCTTTATCTTCTCTTTATTTTCTTTGATTTGCCTGCAGCATTTGTTCATAGTTCACTTTGAGGCTCTTATGATACGTAGAAAACTTACAGCACAAGTAGATTGGACTCTGTGTCAGTCTCAGTAACACATTTTTTGTAACATCGTTAGGAGAAATTTTGATAATATCAAATATTAAAAATGATCAGCAGAAACTATATTTTGCATTATTTAGTAATGTGCAGCATATAAAATGTATGCATAGTTGATGTTTCATTACATATCTTCACTTTCTTTTTTTTTAATATATTTTATTGATTTTTTACAGAGAGGAAGGGAGAGAGAGAGAGAGTTAGAAACATCGATGAGAGAGAAACATCGATTAGCTGCCTCCTGCACATCTCCTACTGGGGATGTGCCCTCAACCCAGGTACATGCCCTTGACCGGAATCGAACCTGGGACCTTTCAGTCCGCAGGCCGATGCTCTATCCACTGAGCCAAACCGGTTTTGGCCATATCTTCACTTTCTTATGAGTTGAGTCAGATAAGCATTATTATGCCCATTTTACAGATCAGCAAACCATGTTTCAAATATATGAAGTAATTATCAGAAAGTTCGGAAAAGATGAAATTGCTAAGATACTTATTTTTTAAAGATGATTGTGCCTTCAACTAGAGCATGCTGGCTTTTTAGAGCATATTATTTTTCCATCATTTGCAAAAAGTTTCTCAGTGAAACTCACAATGTGCCATTAAATTATTTCGATACTATGTGTGTGTTTTTTTAATTAAACCTATGTATTTTCTTTTCCAACCATATTTCCATAACTGCAATAGCTATTGTTAGTGTAATTTTCCTTCCAAGTGGGAAACGAATATTGATGAGATTGTGTTTGCTTCCACAGAACCTGCTTTTCCCAAACCAACCACAGCAGCCCAATAGTAGATGTTCTGTGTCACCAACTGGAGACCTCACGATTACCAACATTCAACGTTCAGATGCGGGTTACTATATTTGCCAGGCCCTAACTGTGGCAGGAAGCATTTTAGCAAAAGCTCAACTGGAAGTTACTGATGGTGCAGTATTATTAGATTTGTCTTATGGAAATAATGGTTTTTAAAAAATGGTTATTCTTTGATTTTTAGAAAGAGAGAGTAGGGACAGGGAGAGGGAGCGATCAATTTGTTGTTCCACTTATTTATGCATTTATTGGTTTATTTCTATATGTGCCCCGACTGGGGAATGAACCTGCAACCTTGGTATATTGGGATGATATTGTAACCTGACCAGGGCATACTTTTTAGTGCAAGATTCACATTAACATGTGAAATGTTCTGATTTGTTAGTTAAATTATTTTAATAAATTCTTATCATTTTAGTTTGGATCTAGATAAAATAACATTTTTAATAGTTTATAATTCTCCTTGATTTAATACCATTTATTTTCCCAGAGAACTTCCAAGATAATCTATTTATTGTTAAAAACATAGTGATGCATTATTTTAAAAAAATGATACCACAGTCAAAATGTATAGACATGTTCTCTGTATATTTTAATTAGTCTTGTGAAGACATGCTTGCTTCTAATAGACAATAATATTATTTTACTAGAGGAGAAATATAGCATCTTTAATATTCAGTGGAAATGGAGATGGGTTTTTAGTTAGCTAGTGACATCCTATGACTTTTTAATTATCATTTACTGTGTTAAATTAATTAAACACCTCAAAACATTTTGGATGCTAAAATTATTATTTCTTTATTTGAACAGATGTACTAGGAATCTTAAACAAAGCACCTATACTCATAGCAAAAGTTGGAAAAGAGACAAGAGCTTTAACTGGTTTTTCCCCAAGAGCTTGTCACAAATGACAATGAGGGAGTTTTCGTTACTTTTTTTAACCTATGCGCATGAATTTAAGCTCTATTTTTTTGATGCCTTAAAGTTTTTTCTGCTCTCCTATATTTGTGAATTTGTGGGTAGTTTTTTGTTTGTTTGTTTGTTTTTCTTGACACTATGATTCTGAGACACAGAGCTTCTCTGTGTGACCTCTCTGATTCTCTTCTGGTGGAACGTGCTTTCATACAATTCACATTGACATGTAGATTAAAAGGTCATTTAAAATTAATAGGAAGGCAATGCTTTTTAATGTTTGTGCTATTGCCTGATTCAGCACACTGGCAGGAATGAAAATAATGTAAATAGAACAGACAAACGTTGGCTGTGGGGTCCTGGGTCGTGAACGGTTGCACTTGCTGCTGCTGCTGCTGCTGCAGAGATTCGCTGGTGCCAAACGGAAAGAAGCCAGGTTCAGGAAGGACCGGTGCTGAGCTCTTCCTGTAGCTGGACATGACCTTTTACTCTTCATGCGTCCATATTTCCTTAAACTAAATATAACTGTTAATCTTTGTTAACATTTTAAGTTTTCTCCTATGAACAAAAATGTCCAGGTGCATATACTTGGAAAATCTGATATTCTGGCCAAAGCCAAGTTTTAGTCTACACTTTACAAAACATTTGAAACAACACTTAAGATCTCTATTGCAATCCTTTGAAGATCTTAGGTTATATTAATTTACAAAAGACAGACTCTAAAATATTATTAAATGAAGAAATTTTTATGGAAAAACATATTTGTAGAAAATAAAATTGAGGAATTAGAAAAGTTGGTTTATGGTATGACTGTGGTTCATGAAACAGGTGGATATTCAGAATTATGATTAATATAACGGAACAGAAAATTTTTGTTTTGAGAATTTATGTTAGTTGATGACATGATCACACAAAACGCAGTAGTTATTCTAACTGCGTTTCTAAGGTCAAAATTAAGGCAGTGATAAACAGTTTTAAATCTGGTGAACAAAATGGCTCTGTACATTTTCCTACAACTGGCTTGAACATTAATTACTACATTGATTTTTACTTAAGTAAGCAATTTCAAAATCAAGATCCTTTTTCAAAAACATTGAATGAAGGTTATAGAGTTATTGATTTTTAGAGTAAAGAAACCTAACTTCAAGGCTTGCACACACGTATTATTATTGTAACAACTGTCTCCAAATTTTAACTTGCCACATTGGTTGATGACTTCAGCTTTAGTGTTTTGAATGTTTTAATTTGGTTAGTAATTTAAAAATATGTGATCCATTATTTTTATTTTCAACATTTTTTGTGTGCATGATTCAGGGCCATTTAGAGCCAATTGAAATTCCAATGAAGAAGAAAGCATATGCCATGTTCTGAGAAACAAGCAAAACATCTATAGCAATGCTTCTGTTATGTTTTTACACTTAAACTTCTTTCTCAGAAATATTTTTAGCTCAAGTGTTCAAATAAGATGAGATTGCTAAAGGTGATGAAAGGAACTTTTAAATGATAATTTTACTGATTATAGATTGAGATAAGATGTTTCAATATACTTGAGTTTTAAAATATCCCATTAAAATACCTCATTAATTCATTCCTACTGTTCTTCATTTCTTCTTCTACATCTTGTCTTTGAGAAAATTAAAATATTGTAATGAGAATTCTATGAATAGAGTCAATAGAATCTAAAAGGACTGATGGGAAGACATGTACTTATATCTTATATTGACAAAAATGTTCATCACAATCTTATATGACTGATTTATTGGAGATTTATAATGCATAGTCAGAGAAAACCATGGAGTTGTTCACAGATCACTGCAAACCCTAAGCGTTCATTTAACCATTGTCCTTAATGTGATGGAAACCTGTGATCATTTTTCACCCATAACACAATTGAACTGAAAATTCCTTCTGGCCAGGAGAGTTTTAATTACTTTATTGATCAAATTCATTTAAAATAGGATGAGTGAAATATTTGGGAAGTAAAAAATAAATAAATAAATAAATTAGATGCATTTTGGCTATATCTAATGATTTCAAGAAAATGAAAATAAAACTAGGTTATAAGAAGTTCCCTGAATTCTATGTAGATATTTAATTTGAAACAGTTATTTAAAACTCACTAAATACAGTGGGGCCTTGACTTATGAGTGTCCTGACTAACGAATTTTTTGAGATACCAGCTGTTTCTAGGCCGATTTTTTGCATTGAGTTGACAGAGTAATTTGAGCTAAGGAGCTCCTTAACGAGCTCGGTCTCGGAACGAATTAAACTCGTAAGTCAAGGCCCCACTGTAGTATCTACTCTGCTACTACAGAACTATTTTTCTTGCTGAATTAAAAATTATGTTTTGTGAATTGCCTTTCCTGTTTTGGTCCATGAAGTAAATAAATTCTATGGAACCTCCTTTTTGAATATCTAATTGCCCAATTATCGCCAGAGGTGGCATAATTGATATGATATTGTAAGCTCACATTCTCTGATGATTATTTTATTTACTTTTAAAGTAAATAATTTGATTAAGGAAAGCAGTAAAATAATAGGTTTAATTTGTTTTGTAAAGAATACATGAGCAGTATTTTATTATTTTTCTTGAGTTTTTATAAGATTTTCTACATACATACACACATACATACATGCCTGCACACAGATTTTAATGTATATTTTGATGTAGTAGGTTTAGGTTGGTTGAAAATCTACTACATCTTTCCAGACAAGGGACCAATATAATAACTTGCATCTTTAATTTAAATTGATTGGTTTTCTCATGATAGGCTCTAAAAAGGCTGCTTACTGTATTGCTTTTTTCTCAGGACTGTAAAGAATAGAAAAAAAGATGATGCATATAGATTGAGAAATAATCATATACTGGCATTTATAGAAACTGATAGACAAAATGATTAGAAGATTGATAAGCAATAAGACTATTTTATTATGAACATTGTAATATGACATGATCTTGAGAAAAACTCTCTTCACAATTGCTTAGTGGAAATAGAATCCACTATAATTTTATATATAAACTAAATAATAGTTCTCATAGTTCAAGGGTCAACAGTGTATGTGTGTATTTTGAAGAAATGGCTAAAATTATATAAGATCAGCCTGGAACATCTTCTAGTATCAGAAAGAAAGGAAGTACTCAGCAAAACAAAAACAAAAACCCACACATTGTTGGGGGTTGGAGGTAGATGTCAAAGGAGCACAGGAGCCAAATGAATGAGCACCCAAAGGCCAATGTAGAAATTTGAGCAGCAAAACATATAAAGTGGTATTGGAGTATAAGTCAAAATATAAAATAAATATGCATGAGTATATATTGCTAAAAATATGGTTAAATAAATTAATAAGTGGAGAAGAGACAAATCTTCTGTGTACGATATTTCCAAATATTTTTGTAAATAGTCTGCCCTCAAGGAAGTGGAGCATAACTCCCCACTCTTTACGTGTGGACTACTCAGAGGCATTCCTCCCTGAGGGCACAGCTATGAAAAGGGGTAAATTTAACTTTATGGTGGAGAAACCTAACAAACACCCCTCAGCCTGGTGATCACAGTGAACATCAACAGTGGTATGTCTTTTTTATAAATTTACAAAATATGTCCCCCTCACCCATCTGCCCCATACCCAAGCGCTTCTCTGCCTCTGGCAACTATCATCCTCTGTATCTATGATCTTTTTTGTGTGTTTGCTTGCTTGTTTGTTCTAAATTCAGGTACAATTTAAAAATTGATATCTATTTTTTCAATTTTAAAACATTTAATTTATTATATATATTTTAAAAACATTTAAAAATACACACAACACACACACAGTTGACTCTTGAACAATGTGTAGGTTAGGGGTACTGACCTTCTTTGCAGTTGAAGATCCATGTATAGCTTTTGACTCCCCAAAATTTTAACTAATAACCTATTGTTGACTGACAGCCTTACTGATAAATAGTTGATTAACATATATTTTCTATGCTGTATTATATATTGTATTCTTACAATGAAGTAATCTAGAAAAAAGAAACTATTATTAAGAAAATAATATATGTGCATGAAATAAAAAAAACACATATCTTGGATAATTAACCAAAATCTTTGTTTAAGTTTATAGAACTTTCTCTTAATTCTAAGAATGTTTCCTTTGACCTGGACATGTAAGCTTGCCTACATTTGACTCCATATTTTCATTACCCATTTAAATAATACTATATATTCTGCTATATTTCCTAAATCATTACAAAATACTTCTAAAGACACTGAAGATAAAATTTAATTAAAAACACACCGAAATAAAAGTTGAAATTATGGAAAATTTATCCAACAAATACAGGAATTGGTAGATATATAAAGACTATTGAAAACCCAATGTTTGTCATACCATAAATAAAGTCTAATTAGATTGCTTATCTTTGCTTAATTGTAAGGATCAATTAAGTTATATCATCCAAATTATGTTACTATAATTTAAAGACTCAATAACAATGTTGGATATAATTTATTTATAATCAAATACTTTGACATCAACAGAAATATTATAGCCTATATACATAAAGCATGTAACTAGTGATAGCAAGGGTGAAATTATGTATTATGCATATATTTATAATAAAATAAAAGTGAAAATTGATTCTACTCATGTATCCTCCACTGTCTTTCTTAAATATGCATATGAGAGATAAAACAGACATTTTATGATGGCTGTAATAAGCCGTCCATATTTTCATTTTAATATGATTGAGCCTTTCAATAACAGTAAGCCTTTCTAAAATGTTAGAATTTTATGCCATTAGCATCTTAATCATAGGTAATTCAAAGTTGTAAATAATAATATGGCCTCAGTATAGTGTGTACAGATGATAAATATTTGATGGATACAGAATAAGTTATAAGTAATATTGATTTGGGGGCTTTAAGGTTACTTTCTATATCAAGACTACTGAACTTTATAGCAGTTAAAATGTTCTGAAAATATCTTTGTCCTTTAGTTTTAACAGATAGACCTCCACCCATAATTCTACAAGGCCCAGCCAACCAAACACTAGCAGTAGATGGCACAGCATTACTGAAATGCAAAGCAACTGGTGATCCTCTTCCTGTAATTAGCTGGTTAAAGGAGGGATTCACGTTTCTGGGTAGAGATCCAAGAGCAACTATACAAGACAAAGGAACATTGCAGATTAAAAACTTACGGGTAAGTAATGGTCAACTTGTATGTATCTTTATCTCAACTTATGTATTGACCTAGAGAAAACTGTGTGTGAACTTAAAACCTCATATCCCTGCACATTGCTCTACATTTTATTATGGTCCATGTTAGTTCTTATTGTACAAATGATGAATTCCAATTAGAGGGAATATCATTGTCCCTATGTTACTCATAATTTTTAAACAGACTTAGAAAGTTTTTACTCCTTCATCCAAACCCATCCTATATAATAAAGAGCTAATATGCAAATAGTCATCACACCCTCACGCAATCATGCCTTAATGGCTCAGACACTCAACACTAGGGAGAGAGGAATGGTGACCAACCAGGAAAAAATGAGCTTGTGAGAGAGGAATGGGAAGCAGCCAGGCTGTGGCTCGGGAGAGGAACAAGCTGCCTGCCCCAGTGCCTGTGGCTGTGGCCCAAGAGAGGGACGAGCTGCCTGCCCCGTGGTCCCGGGTGCCTGCAGCTGCAGCACGGGCAAAGCCGCCTGCCCAAAGTCCCCTGCAGCTACGGCCGGCTCGGGCAAAGCCGGCCCAGGCCCTGGGTGCCTGCAGCCAGCCAGAGGGAGGGAAGACTAGGTCCTGAGTGCAGAGGTGATTAGGGGGTATCAGGCCAGCAGGGTAGTAGTTAGAGGAGATCAGACAGGCAGTGGTGGTTAGGGGCGATCAGGCAGGCAGAGGTGGTTAGGGCAAGCAGACAGGCAGGCAGAGGGGTTAGGGTCAATCAGCAAGGCAGGCAGGCAAGCGGTCAGAAGCCAGAGGTCCAGGATTGCTAGAGGCAGTGGGACATCCCCCAAGAAGTCCCACATTGGAGAGGGTGCAGGCTGGGCTGAGGGACCCCTTCCCGTGCACGAATTTCGTGCACCAGGCATCTATATAATAAAAGCCTAAGTGACCGTTATGGCAGAACAACCAGTCGCTATGATGCACACTGACCACCAGGGAGAGATGCTCAACAAAGGAGCTTCCCCCTGGTGGTCAGTGAGCTCCCACAGGGGTAGCGCTGCTCAGCCAGAAGCTGGGCTCAAGGCTGGTGAGTGCAGCAGTGGTTGCGGGAGCCTCTCCTGCCTCTGCAGCAGCACTAAGGAGCAGTGAGCCCAGCCGTAAGGAGCAATCAGGCAGGTGGTAAGGAGCGAGGGATCCTGGACTGCAAGAGGGGTATCTAACTGCCAGCTTAGGCCCCCATCCCCATTTTCCCAAGGGGTACCATGCTGTGAGAGGAAACAGGCCAGACTGAGGGACCCCTCAGTATGTACATAATCCATGAAATTAAAAATCTTAATTACATAAAGTTAATGATAGGAATAGAATATTTAAATAATTTTAAAATGACAAATACATCTGATTTAAACTCATGAACAAAGGACATTTATAAGGAAATGGGAATAAATTGGCTTGACCAAACAGCTGTGTGGAAAACATAAAGAGATGAGACTGAATAATAGGAGGCAGGTTTAACTAGTTCATAGAATATCTTACATTTTAGGTTAAGTTGCTATAGAGTTTAAATGTAAGCCTGTGGACAAGAATAAGCCTGTTGGTCTTTTAACAGAGGATGACTGTTCCTGCCAACATAAATAAGTTACACCTGCTTCAGGACCAACTCAATAAAAATAAATGTTTACTTCTGAGTATTACATTAGCTATATACTACTGTGTAACAAATCAGCAAAAACATAGAGGCTTAAAGCAATACACATTTACTACCTCACAATATCTGTGGGTTAGAAGCCTGGGCATGACTTAGCTAGGTTTTCTGCTTTAGGGTCCAAAAGTCTATAATCAGGCGGGTCATCTCATCTGAAGATTGACTTGAGATAGATTTGATTCCAAGCAACATGATAGCAGCAGCACTCAATTACTTGTGACTGATGACTTTAGCATCTTTCTTACTGTTGACTGCCTTTAGTTCCTTGCTATATGGATATTCCCAATGTGATTGCTTGCTTCTTCAAAGTCAACAAAAAAGAGAGTCTCCTAGCAAGAGAGGCATTGCTGTTCTAGCACCATGATCAGAAATATGACATCCTGACACCCTTGCCTAATTCTGTTGGCAAGAAGTAAATCAACAGGCCTTTCACAGGCAAGCTGAGGGATTATACAAGGTGTAACTACCAAGAGGATATATCATGGGAGTGACCTGCCCTTCAAAAATATATTCAATTCATTCAACCCAATATAGAGAGCCTCCCTTTATGCAGCAAGCACTATGCCAACACTTGAATGTATATTATAGTAATCAAAAGTTTGGGAATGAGAGCCAGCACCATCTTAGTGTAAGATGGTTGACGTAATAGTGCACAAATAAAAAATCAACTGAAAATGATTCAATGGAAGAAGAGTTAGTAGAATCTGGTCTTTGGGAGAAATTAGGAACCAAGATGAAGAAAAAACAAAGCAAAAACACCCCCCAAAAATGTTGAATTTTCCCTTTTACAATGCTCATAATGTTCACTTACAATGCCAAATTATTTGCAATCATACACTTAGTTTGTATTTATCAGTATATCATACAGATACATATACAAAAAGGAAAATTTTCTCTATTTTTATATTGTGTGTGCACACACAGACACACGAATATTCAATATATTAAATGCATTTTTACTTTGAGGCACAAGCATTAATTATTGCTCAAAGTAGGAAAAAATGCTTTTTAATTCAGTTAAAAGAAAAATAAATTAATATAGATTTTAGCCTGTCTTTTTATTGATTGTAAATTAATTGTTAACCTTCTATGAACAAAATGGGAGTTATGAAGAAATTAATGCCAACTCCCCTTGAGTAAACATTTTAACCTCTCTCTCTGTGGGCTAAAGGCAGACTTGGGCCATGGAGGTTAATGCAGTTTCAGTGTACTGCTGAATTAGAGGTTGTGCTTGAATGGTCAGGATCCCAAGTAATGTTTGAAAAAAGCAATTAAAGGTGGGTGCTTGATGATGTCAAACTCTGAGCCCTCTGACAGACTCCTGAGTAGTCTGTCTGAGATGCAGGCTCCTGGGGTCTTGTCTGCAGCCAACTGCACAAGGAGTACAGTAGGCGATTGAGGCTGACAGCACATGAATCTCTTTTTAAAGCACTTGCTTAAGGATAAAAGGAAAAGAGTGGGGAAGCCTTGAAATACCTGTGATCAGAAAAGACATTATTTAAAGTTGAAGGACTAAAAATGAATGTGATGATGATGATGACATAGGAGTGACTTTTAGCAATGAGATTTAGGCTTTTGATAGCACTTTTGCTAAACTCAAAAAAATGATTCTCTTTCTGTAATATGACTGTCTTTAAAGGGAGATAAAAATGGGTTTTGCAGTACTTCACTCATATCAAAAGACTTTCTGTAGGTTATATTCCTTTGTGTCTCGCTATTTCTTTTTTGATACTTAATGCAAGGGAGGAAATAGAATGATGAACATTGTGTTCCTATAGTTCAGCTAATTGGTAGCTGAATCTGTATTTTATGAGAAGTAGAAAATTTGAACACTCATTAAAACATATCTACCACAGCTAATGTCAGACTTCTATCTCCCCACAATGACAAGGAGATCTGTTAAGAAGCTTTACCTACATACCCTTCTTTTAGCATTTGCACGTAATAACAAGTGCTACATTCAAGTTCAACAGCTATAATAAAATGCAAATTCTTCACTCTTTCAGAGACCATATTCAAATGAACATCCCATTAAAATCCAACTCAGCTCATTATATTTAGTTTGTGAGTGATGCTTCTTAAATGAAAAGATTTCTAATGACTAATGTGCTCAGCCACATCCGAAAGAAGAGCTTTTCCCACAAAGGCTCTCCCCCATCATCACTTCCATAATGGAAGATAGTTGTATGGAGATAATATTGCAAAGAATGATGTTCCAGAGCAATTTGAACCTTAGGTTAAAATACATAGTGACATGTAAAATAAATTAAAATGGAATCACAGTAACATCCATGAACTAAAGATTTACTTGAGAATCAATTGTGAAAAGTTCAGTCACCCATACCCTCACATTTTGAACCCAGCAGGTAGTATATTCTATGAACTCCCATATTTCATCAACAATCAGACTCATGTTCACTGCAGAATTTTGATTCTATATTTAACTTGCCTTATTCTGTGTGGTCATCAGTTTCTCTTTCCAGTCTCACTCTTCCTTCAGCCCTAAACTGATACCAATTAATGTTTGCAGTGTAAGCCCACAGGGTTCAACCACACATCTTATTTTATCTTGGGGCTTTTGTCAATGCATGATCATAGAGTATTCTTCATTTTAAATTTGTAAAATAGACCTTTGATTATATTAATTATTCCTAAAAGTCTTTTGTTATTCTTCAATAAATAACAGAAATATTTTAAGTGATTAATAAAATGGTTACTTTTATGTATACTTATAAAATGAATCATGTATTAGATTATTTCTGTGGTCTCTTTCAGCTCTAAAATTGCAATTTTCCATTGGCATGATTTGTTTATTTTTTAATGATATAATTATATTCCATTCACTGTTATACTGCTACAATTTAAATATAGCTGGATACTGATCTCTTTAAAGGGAAATATTTAGTATTTTAAATTTTTTAATATTTTCAACAAATTATTTTAAACACTTTAATTCTCTCCCCACCTTGCTCACTAGATTTCTGATTCTGGAACTTATACTTGTGTGGCTACAAGTTCAAGTGGGGAGACTTCCTGGAGTGCTGTGCTGGATGTCACAGGTGAATTCTTTGTGAATTATTTTCCCAGAATTTATCTTCTCAAGAAATCTTGCATGCATTTTAGTGATTACCTCATTATCAAATACCAAGTTAAGAAGAGATCAGTATTTTAAATTTTTTAAATGTAAAAATTATCATCCCACTTTTTAATTCCTGCACCTCTTACACATAGCATCGCATATATGCAATTTGATACATTTTTTTCTTGACAACCTTATTTTATTTTCTCAATCTAAAAAGAAAGCAATCCTAACGATCATGTGGGAAAGCAAACATTTAGTAACATGTAGGAAAAGAGAATGTTCACTTATATACTTTTGTTCACTGACTAGGTCACTTACTTAATATACGATTTTTCTTTTTTTAATCATAGTCATCAGCATATGCATTCAGGAATGAAGCTTTTTCTGTTTGTCCTCTACAGAATCTGGAGCAACAATCAGTAAAAATTATGATTTAAATGACCTGCCAGGACCACCATCCAAACCACAGGTCACTGATGTTACTAAGAACAGTGTCACCTTGTCCTGGCAACCAGGTACCCCTGGGACCCTCCCGGCAAGTTCATATATCATTGAGGCGTTCAGGTATGGGATAGTTCCTATTTTCTCCATTGGGTTTTGCTTAAGTTCATATGTTCTCAAATCTCCTGCTTTTTTATTTTAAAGACGTGATCAATCAGTACATTTTAAGAATTTATTTTAAATCTGACTTTATTCAAGAATAGACTTAAGTGTGTTTCTTTTTCATTTTAACCTTAATTATAAGATTAAATATGTATTATCCTTGCCTAAGTTTATAGGAATCTAATTATGACGTAATCACTTAGCTCCTTTGTTTACCCTGTCCATTATAAGGATTTAAGATGAGAATTTCGGCATTAGAAGTAAGCAGAAAATAATTTAATTAGGCACAAGGACCTTTTAAGTTATGCAATGTTTATTGAGGCACAGAACCCTGGAATTTTGCTTCCTAATACTTACAGCAGAACTTAAAATAATTCCATTGTTTTATGCTAAATATTTGAATACATCTATTGGTTAAGCTTAAGAGAAAATTAAAAACTACAACTAAAATTTATTGTATCTACCTCTGGTTGCTGAAAATAAAAGATATGTTTAGTTGTTACTTGAAATGATTGTCATCAGTTTAAGGATATAAACTATAAGTTAGCAAATGTCATTATAAAAAATGTCTTATGGGAATTTGATAAAATACAAATAAGAAAATGTAGTTTTGTATTCAGTTTCAATGTGTTTTTATTTGCCATTATAAAGATAGAGATGGCCACTGTCCTTTACAAGCATTAAGACAAATGCTTTAAAATTCTTTCATTTTAGTTTCTTATAGTCCATTTAATGGAATGATAAGCACCTAGTTTTCAAATTTCAAAATACATTTTTCTTTAATTTCCATGCTTTGATGCAAAGAACTTACTTCTGAAAAATTAATGGAAGGTGCTGAAAATTGCATTTTCTCTTCATTTTAAACAAAAGGAATACTTGGTCTCAGACAAAGTGCTCTAAATGGGCATGCTGTCTGTAATTGGCTGTAAGGGGTTCAGAGATAGGTCCTCATTCCAAGAGGACCTGTCATGTATGATTTTATTAAAAATGTGACCAGAGGAAAATACTCATCCCATGCTTCCTTCCTTCTTTTACAGATATATAGTTTTAGAAGGCTTTATTATAATATTTCATGTGGAAATGATCAAAAGAAAACACACCTTGTAACAGGAATGTATTGGCATAATTTACTCTGTAGTCCATTTATTCTTTCTACAGGTTAATTCTTTTCAAGGTATATATATATATATATATATATATATATATATATATATATATACATTTACGAGGACCATATTTATTGTATAAACTTGATGTTGTGATCTTGGCCTCTGTTCCTTTTACAGGTATTCATTTAGTGGGCTGCTGTGCATTAGCAAAGGGCTGTTACATCTCCTGGGCTGAGTTTAATTTTGTTGTGCATGGCACTTTCGTTAGGTGGGCTTGGCTTTGTTGTTGTATAAACTGAAATCATCCAAATGTTTCATTTATTGGGCTGAATACTCCAAGTGTTTTTTGTGTGTATATGTGTGTGTGTTTAATTTTCAGCCATTAACCTTTGTCATTGATACCCAATTCCATTTCCAGTGCCTTTATGACTGCACCTTAGATGAAATGTCTGTTCTTGTTTCAGCCAATCAGTGAGCAATAGCTGGCAGACAGTGGCAAACCATGTAAAGACCACCCTCTATACAGTGAGAGGACTGCGGCCCAATACAATCTACTTATTCATGGTCAGAGCGATCAACCCCCAAGGTCTCAGTGACCCAAGCCCTATGTCAGATCCTGTGCGCACACAAGGTAATTTCAAGAGCTGTAAATATGACTGGCTCTAGAAGGAGGCATTAGCACACCTGTAAGAACAAAGGGATTGCACCAGGAAGATACATGTGTCTGTATTACTTGTTATAATGATTCATTAGAACTGACCCAGTCTGCAGGGAGCATGCTGTGCACCTTGGTGAGTGTATCCTCTTTCCTGAGGTGTCAGGGTCAATTTAGTACCAAATAAACCAAATAATTGAATATATTCACATAGTAAGAGTGAATAAACTAATTTAAGGCTTTACTATATTTCAAAGGGAGGAAAAATATTTCTCCTTTTTTGAAATTAATTATACAGTGATCTGGAATGGATAAGATGCCCAGATAAAGACATCATTACTCCTTACTGTTTAGAAATTCTGCTTCTATAGTGCAGTGGGTCTCAAGGTGTGGCTTCCATGGAAGCAACATCTCATCACCTGAGACCACGTTAGAAATGCAGGTGCTCAGTCCCCATCTCAGATGCTCTGGGAGTGGGGCCCAGTAGTCTGTGTTCAGGTGCCTGGCAGATGTTACTGTTTTTGACAATTTTGACAACCATTGCTACAGTGTATTTTATTAAACCAGAGATTTAAAGGAGCAATTTGTTTCAGAAAGGAGTAAATCAAGTTTTCTTCCAGAGGTATGTAATTCTTTTGACTAATTAAAAACAAAACAAAAAACCTACCCAGAACATTATAACAGGATGAAATGGAAGGTATCTCATTTCATTTTTAGTAGCCTGTCTCTTCAAAATGAAAAGACACTGGAGTCTAAGGATTAATATAAAATGTGGCATTCTAATTTCTCTTCCGACTAGTAGACAAAGAGAATTAATAAAATAGAAAGGGTTGCTTTATTATTTGTTAAAATCTATTCCCTACAGAGTTCTTGAGAAAGGGTTAATCATTTCTTATTTGTTAAAGGCTTTGAACAAGATATAATTCAAAGTAGTATTTTTATACTATGAATAACACCATACAGCCATAAAATATTATTATAATTATAATGTAGTTCAGCAATAGTTACTAGCATGCTATTATAACAGAGAAGGGCACCTTAAAGGAATCAAGTAAAATAAAGTTACCACGTGATTTTTGTAATGTTGCTGACATGATGACAGTCAAGGGAGGGGGAATGCCACTTGCTATTGTTCTGGAAGCAGTAGTGTGACTAATTTTCCATAATGATAAAGGAACTGTAGGTAAAGAACCTGTCTCAAGAGAGAGAAAAAGCACAAGGAATTTGAAGACCTGAAACTGGTTATATTTTACCTTGCCTGGATCCAATTGCTCTTAGTGCGTCTAAATTTAGTGAGTAAACTAAATTAAATTATTGAACTTAAAGAGGAAAATGTGTATGGTTTAAATTCAGAAAATAATAATACCTAGATCACTTCACTTGTGTAGGTGAAAACAGGCAGTTTCTGTGTGAAGTGGTGAGGGAAGGTGGAGAGATAACAGAATGTGGAAGCTTGTGGTGTGATTAAACCCGCAAACCTGCATCATTCAATATCTGTGCCAGTCACTAATTCTCAACTCATGAAATAATTTCTTGGTGAAAAGTAAAACAAAACAAAACATTAATGAAAACTTGTTTGTGCTCTGACTTGTTCTAGCTGAGAGATTATATGAAGAAAAAATGCTTATATTCTCTTAATAGGTGTTTAATAGGAAAACACATGTTTTGGGCCTGCAGATCAGGATCATTTTTGATGCCACTTTCAGCAGCATTACTATTTGAAAAGCTCTTCTTTTCAAAGAATGCTTTGCTGTATGCACTTTTATTTTTAAAAGATATTAAATACCATAGAAGTAAATAAATAAATGCCATAGAATTTAGAATTATTTTAGTAAGGCAGCGAACACTTGCACCATCAACAGCACAAGGGTAGACCATAGGTATATCCATAAAGGTTCACATTATTGACTTAATATTAATATTTTTTTAAATAAAACCTGCAATGCTGTTTATGTTAAGGATGAAAAAAATGGAACTGGAAAAATGTCACCAAAGTTCAGGTTCCAATTATTGCTGCCCCAATTTAAGTTAGTGCATCCCATTTAAGTTATGACTGAGATATGTACTTAAAAATATTTTTTCAAGAATGTGGCATTGTGGCCTGAGAAAATAAAAGAAAAGAAGATTAAGAAAATAAATCAATTAAAATTGTATTTTCTTTCTTAAATAAGGTAGCTGGAGAAAAAAAAATCAATATTATAGTGTATCAGTTAAAGAAGCTGATTTGAGTATGTGTAAAATTCAGTGTTTGATATCAATTTGATGGACTTGAATGTCTATCATTTATATATTTTAATGGACATACACTATAAACCATTATATATATGGGACAATAGAAGAGTATTTAAGTGAATGGTAAGTAAGGGGCCAGAACAATGTATGGCTAAAGATATATCATTCTAAACATCGGAAATCTGTTTTTTCTTCTTTCTTCCCCTGGGCCCTATCCTCTGCAATAGTTTCAAAAACCTTTTGTTGGATATTGGAGCACTGCTCAAACTTTATCACTTTAGAACATTTATCAGTATTTTAATTGTTTTGGTCAAAAGAATTGTTGTGAATACTGGGGGCTTCTTCCCCTTTTCCCCTCACTTTGTTTACCTTTATTTTTTATGAAGAAAAAAGTAAATGTTTTATTAATAATTCATATATGGATTATATATTTAAATATTATTTTAATATATTGGGCTAAATTATATATACTACTAAAATTAATGTTACCTTTGTCTTTTACTTTGTTTACCTTTAATAATATACTTCAAGTTTCCAGTCCCTCTGATTACTTTTCTTCCCTAGTCTGAAGTAGGTCAAGTAGTAAAACACACAATTTACTAATTGGAACAAAATATTAAATAAATTCCCAAACAGCAGTTTTCAGATATTACCCATTAACTACTCAAGAAAATGTTTTAACATCTATATAAAACTGATGTTTCCAGAGAAGTCTTACAGCACATTCTTTATTCTTTAATAAGAAAATAATGAGACTTTCCACAACAATGTATTTGAATAGGGTGAGGGATTGCATACACTCTTTTATTAATATTATTTTAGTGAAGATAAATATAATCCTTTAAATTATATTTTAGCATGGTGATAGTATATAAATACTCTTTAATGTTTTTGTCACAAAGATTTTTAAAAAATTTTCCCCTGTAATTATTTCTAATGGCATATTATTAGCTTATATAATATACATTGGAATCTTACTATGAATTTTTAAAATTTGGGAATGATTGTCTACCTGTAGATATCAGCCCTCCAGCACAAGGAGTGGATCACAGACAAGTACAGAAGGAACTAGGAGATGTCATTGTTCGTCTTCATACTCCGGTTGTATTGACACCCACGACTGTTCAAGTCACATGGACAGTAAGTTCTGAAAGGCCATGTTAATAATAGTCTCTTTTTTTTTTTCCTTTAAGAAAACAAACCAAAGAAGAAAAAATATGTCAACAACCCAAAAAATGGTAATAAAACTCTTACCATTTAAAAAATCAATGTGTAACCAATCACACAAAAAAGAAAAGCATTCAATAGATGAAAGAATAAATATAGGAAGGAAAGATTGATTGCAGTATAAATGAAATATGTTCGGTCTTCTGAACTTTAACAGATTTATTGAGATAGAATTTATATACCAAATTTAAAATGTACAACTTACTGGTTTTTAGTATACTTACAGAGTCATACAACCATCACCAAAATCTGATTTTAGAACATTTCATCACCCCAAAATTAAATCTTGTGCCCATTAGCAGTCCCTTCTCCATTCCCTTCACTTGAGCTTTTTGCAACCACTAATCTACTCTTTGTCTCTATAGATTTGCCTATTGCTTTCATAGGAATGAAATGCAATATGTGATCTTTTGAGCCTGGCTTCTTTCACTCAGCATAATTTTTTTGAGGTCCATTCATGTTATAGCATGTATCAGTATTTTGTTCCTTTTATTTCTTAATAGCATTCCTTAATAGCATACAGATACCAGCATGTGCATCTGTTTGTCCATTCATCAGCTGATACACATTTGAGTTGTTTCTACTTTAGGCTATCATTAATAATGGTGTCATGAACATTTGTGTACGAGTAAACATAAATTTTTATTTCTCTTGATATTTACCTAGAAGTTATTGAGTAATACGATAATGCTATGTTTAACATTGGATGAACTGCCGACATGTTTTATAAAGTGGTTATACCATTTTATGTTCCCACTAGCAATATTTTAGGATTTCAGTTTTTTCCACATCCTTGCTAATTTCTCTCATATTCTCACCAACACTTCTTATCTTCTGTCTTTTTATTATAGCTATTCTAGTGAATGATGAATGGTATATCATTGTGGCTTTCATTTGCATTTGTTTCATGACTACTAATGTTTTGAATCTTTTCATGTGTTTACTGAGCAATTATATATCTTCCTTAAAGAAATCTCTGTTTAATGATTTGCCCATTTTTAAATTGGGTTGTTTGTCTTCTTATTACAGTCATGTAATAATTCTTTATCTATAGAATACAAATTGTTTATCAGATATATAATTTGTAAGCATTTCTCCTGATCTATAGTTTGTTTCTTACTTTCTTAATGGTATTATTGAAACACAAAATATTTAAATTTTGATGAAGACTTCTTGTAAATTTAAATCAAACATCTTTATATTCTTTTAGCTGAACATCATCCAGCAGCATCAAACATGTACATATATAATTTTAATAAGTTGACATTTAAGTTTAAAAATTAATGGGTTTTAAGAAATAAATTAATATTTTAATATCTGCTAAAGTGTTCAATTTCATCCTATGTAATAAAAGACTAATATGCTAATTGACCAAACCACGGAACAACTGGTTGCTATGATGCTCACTGATCACAAGGGAGCAGACACTAAACCCTGGTGGTCAGTGCGCTCCCACGGGGGGGGGGGGGGAAGGGGGGAGCACTGCTCAGCCAGAAGCTAGGCTTATGGCTGGTGAGCTCAGCCCCGGCTGGCGAGCGCAGTGGTGGTGGTGGGAACCTCTCCTACCTCCTTGGCAGTGCTAAGGACGTCTTGGGGACTGGCAGGTGGACACTCCCCAAGGGGTCCCGGACTGCAAGAGGACACAGGTCAGGCTGAGGGACCCCCCCCCCTAGTGCATAAATGTCGTGCATCAGGCCTCTAGTGCAGTAATAAATGTTAACCTGCCCCTGTCATTTCAAAATACAAAATGTTTTGACCCACATAGTAGCCACTTCAGTGGAAACAACAAATACTATAAAAATAGCCATTAATCACATTAGAAAATGCTAACACTTGTGCATGTGCTTGAGTCTACATGTGTGTCTGTTTTGTGAAGAGAGAGGTAATCTTCCCTGAGCCTAATACAGTTAGTGCCAACTTCTCCTTTCTGTCAAAGATCTCTCTGTTACAATTTCTAAAAATCCATAAAGGCATATATCAGGATAATAGAAGGGCATGCATTCTTTCAGTCTTCTGTGTTTGTGATAGACTTTGTATGTTATATAAGTAAAGGATATTTTAGTTAGACATTCCTAGAAGAGTTTTCACTTTAATTATAATCTTAATTAGAAAGTATTTATAATTATGTCTCTATTGTTTTTTTATTATTATTGTAGGAGAATGACTGTAAGTAAAATAAATAAATAAATAAATAAGACCAAAAAAACTGAACTACCTTTCCTCCAAGTTTCTTTGGGGAAATAACTGTCTCACCCATTCCCGTTAATTTCATCAACAAAGAAAATTCAGGGGAAAAATGATTATTTTCATCAATCTTAATTTATTATATTTTAAATATAGAATACAATGAATAGAAGTCTTCCAGTGTCCTCTCAATAATACATTCATTGAACAACTCCAATCCAACAACGTTTTTTGAGAACAAATTCTGTACCCAATGTGTGTGTGTGAGTGTGCAGGGGCTATAAAAAGAGACACAAATAATACAAATTCTTTTTTTAATATTTTTATTGATTTCAGAGAGGAAGGGAGAGGGAGAGAGAGATAAAAACATCAATGATGAGAGAGAATCACCGATCAGCTGCCTTCTACATGCAAATTCTTAATGACAATACACAGGAATAAGTGCCATAACAGTATATATGCTCCCTATAGACAGGTTTCAATCAAAGATGAAGTGAATAATTCCATCCTCAAAAAACAGAAAAGATATTACCTCTCATGTACTTTTCTTTGAGAAAATATGAAGGTCTTACTTATTAGAATGGCTGAAACTTAGAGACATTAAGGCTTTTTTACACTAATTTTATAATTTTATGAAAGGAAACCAATACAGACAGATTGAATAATGTTCTAAATCCCATGTATATTTATAGATAAGAATAGCATTAGAATTTCCTTACTTCAAATCTGTTTGCAGTGTCTTCACTGTAAAGAAAAACTGTCGACAAATACATAGTGGAATATTTAATGGTGGATTTCAACATATAATCCTGAATGGGGCATTTTGTTGCTTCTTAAACCACACCATCTGATTGATCAGTCGTAGTTTTGGCCCCTAAGTACAAAATTGAGTAATACTTTAACAAAAATAAAACTAAGTTTATAACATTTTGAGAGTAATTATGACTAGGATTGCATTGTTTCTAATTTTATTTTTATATAATCTCACATAGACGTTCTATTTTCTGCATAGAGTGGTTTCTAGTCTTCTGCTCCTATGAAGGGAACATAATGACCTCACCCTTTTCCCACTGGCACAGTAGTGTGATATCTGCCATGCCTCATCCACTTTCTGTAGCTTTGACTAGATACAAAACTGACAGGCCAAGGATATAGTTGTATTTTTAATAGCAGATTTTTACTCACTATCAATTGAAAAAGTCTTATCTGCTCTATTGGGAGTATTGAAGGGGCTTTTTAAAGCTTCTTCTAAATGTGGAAATTATTTGGATAAGAATCAAGGTCATTGTGTTCATGAAGTCAATCACTTTAAAAGTCATTGAGTTAAAAAGAATACATCAAATCAGATCAAAACTACAGGCCAGTAGTCTGGGAGTTCGTTCAGGAAAGGGACCTTATCATAGTCATCTTTATATCCCAACAAGATTGTCATTTCTGGTTTTCATATCTCACTCCCTCATGAGCTTGACTTCTGAGAGTCTGGCTATGTTTTTAATTTCTGGTTTTTTTTCAGAGCAAAGCATCATTTATGAAATTCCCTTTCAGTAACTGTCTGTTACATGATCAACTCAATTGTTTCATACATGTTTTTATTTTAAAAAAGAAAATGTTTAATATATCACAGTGTATTGCTCCCCATGAGATATGCATGTAGTTGAGAGGTAAATGTAGCGAAATAAAGCCCAACTTGGGGTGAGGTTGGTTATCAAAAGAATTACGACCAACTATTTCATTTCAGTGTCCTATTTTCAACTTCCTAAATGTGCATGTCTTTTTAAAATTATTACATTGTTTGAGTTACATATGTGTTGGGCTTAAGGGGGCAACTATATTCCCCAGCCCATGTGTTTAGATTTGGAGCCAAATGAGAAGGTATCTATAATAGGTGGCAGGATTCATTTACCAAACATACATGACATTTGTACTAAAAACAAACAAACAAACAAACAAAAAACACATGCCCCAAAGGCTAATCTTGAAACAGCAATAGTTAGCAAATGCTACATTCTAAAAATGACTATTTTTATAATGAGGGTAGGCATAAATGATAAGAAAACGGCTGTTTCACAAAGAAATGGCAATAATTATTACATTTAAAAATATTTATTCTGGTGTGTGTGTGTGTGTGTGTGTGTGTGTGTGTGTGTGTGTGTGTGTTGGTTCAAGGACATAAAGAATCACAGGCTCGTTGTCCTTAAATATTACAGCTACAGGAGGTGAAGGAGTGCCCTGGAGAACCAGGCTCACAATTCAGCTAAGTCCAGACCAGTCACTAAGCAGACCAAGCCCATCTAATAAAATTTGTTTTGACTTTTGAGTTTAAGTGGATTTTTTTTATATTGAAAAGATAGATATTAAGCATCTTACTTGAACATTTTAATGCAAGTGATGATATGAGGGACACATGTGGACACCTGTTTTTTAGTATATTGTTTACTTAACAATGATGCTTTATCATTGTGCATCCTTAAAACTTGCAAGTGTTTTAACTTATAGTAGTCCTTTAATTGTGTCTGTGCCCTTGTAACATGGAAGTTATTTGAACAAATTAAGTAACCTGAGACTCAGAAAGTTTAAGCTATAACTCAACTGAGACTGAACCTCTCTTCATCACTTCACTTTTTCCTTAAGACAACTCTTCTTTCACTCACATTTCAGAAAATACCAAGTTTTAAAATTTTATAAACCCATGGAATTGTGTCCAGACTCATAATCAGAATGGTAATAAAATTAGTAACAAGCATATGATTTAACTTGAAAATGACCACCTGTCAAAATGTGCTTCAGGAGTCAATAGCGTAGAATGCATAGCCAATAAAAATCCCACCTAGTTTTTTTAAAGGAAGTGTTCAGCATTTTCATTTTTGCTTCCACCTGTAACAACATTTTTTTCCAGAAAAGAATGTATTGCAACTGCACATAATCCAGTTAGACTATTTAGTTATTAAGTGGGTCATTAGAAAATGCTGGTTGAAGGCATTTACACTGAAGTGAGGAAGGCAATGTTGAATAGTAAACATTAACTTCATAAACTCCCTAAAACACTTAATTAATGAAAACCAAACATGGATAAAACCAATTTACCCTGATTTACAGGCTCCCTTCATCTGGAAACAGCTGCTTAATGTGCTTCTTAAAAACACAGCTTGCTTCTTTCAGTATTAACAAGCTATTATTGTGAGTTATGTCTTTCTTTCAGTATATAAATTCACTTAAAGTGAATGCAGAGAATTTTATAAAATGCAAGTTTAATGTTGTTTTAACATATGCTGTGGTGATATTTTGGAACACTGACAGTTTTGATGAAGGGTATCTCTCTGTGGCTCCCATAAATTTAACTTTTGGCTTTTTAGTTTTTTAATGTCAGAACAACTTCTGCTTTTCAAAAATATATGCCCATTGGTGTAAACACAAACTCGTGGCATGGATGAGGATTCAAAGACTATGGCTTTGGCATCAGAACTGGGCTGACTTTTTCATAACATAACCTCACACAAGAGTAGCACTAATATCAGAAAATCATTGAGGGTAAGAAAGCTGTTGGGTGGAAAAAGGAATTCTTATTCGACTAGACTCATCTGTGAAACTGGAGTTAGCTATACATAGTAACACACATGCTTACTTTCACCAACTTCATGTGTTTTTCTAACTTGGACATTTTAAATACAGAAAAAACTGTTCCTTTGTTCTATGGTATTTTAACTGTGATTCTGTAAATTTTTTTGAATGCTGCAACTCAAGAGGTTAGATTTTAATACATGAAAGAATAACATTTGTTTATAACATGTTCACAGTTGAAGAAATTTTAACAAGCTGAAATAACCATTTTTATCATTACATATTCTAGTTCCTTTCTCCTCAAACTTCATAAAATGAGGTCTTCCACCTCTTCTCCATTAAATTTTACACTTCCTTTGACTGTGAAATATGTCAAGTGAAAGGACTTTTAGAATATGACTAGCAAACTATAATATATGAAATGTTAATTGGAGAAGGTGCTATGGTATTTATATTTGTCAAGCATTTCTAGAAACATGGTAAGACATTAAAAAAAGCTAAAAGTCTTCTTCTCCCTGAAAATGAAAAAAAAAAAAGGTAGTATTCCAGTAAAGATTGTTTCATAAATGTATAAAGATAATATGTTTCATTTTTAGCTTACATTTTTATGTATTTGGTTTTATGTAATTATTATGAGTGAACTTATTTTTTAAATTTCTATTTGATGTCAGTTTTGAGATTCAAAATCTCAGATTTTCAAGAACAGCTGTTTGTCCTCATTTAAGAATGAAAGGATCAAGAAAGTTGTCAAATTGTGTCAGTAGTGGGACTATTGGTAAATTAATAAAAGTCTTTAATATCTGTTGAGGGCTATAAACTGTTTTATCTATTTAGAACAGATGCTCTAGCAACACAACTTTTGGACTCTCGCATGCTTCGCCCATCAACAGGAATTGGACACGTGCCGATCCTGCTCTTCCACTGGATAGATCCCACTGTCCTTGTAGATCTTAGCACGCCTTCAGGGAAACTTCACCTTCTCTTCCTGATCCAGCCAAATTCTTCTCCACTCCAGGCTTTCTTAGCTCCTTGTACATCTCAATCATAGCATGTGTTTATGTCTATTTGTTATTACTATGACTGCACATTGTTTGGATGATCATTAGACAATTCCCATCTTCGGCTTGGGCTCTAAGCACTACGAAGTCAGGGACTGGTTCCTTTCATTCTCTTTTTATCCCTACATTTTCATATGCTTTTTTCTTTATTGATTAAGATATTACATATGTGTTTTTACTCCCCACCCCCTCTCATGACCCCTTGTGTCTGTGTCCATTGATTAGGCTTATATGCATGCATACAAGTCCCTACATTTTAGCAAAATTCCTGGTGCTTATTAGTAGGAACTCAAAAACTGTTTTTGATTAAGTGAAGATGTTAGTGAATGGACAGAGATGAGAATGGAAATCTCTATCAAACTATATATGCAACCACAAAGACAGGAATTCTTGAATATAGAAAAAGGACAAACAGATAAGAAATGGAGCTAGAAAAATTGGCAGGACTTTGTGTTAATCCAAAGAATTTGAATTACACAGTATCTTGGATACCATGAAGTATTTTAAATAGGATAGAGAGTTGTTTCACTCTTCATTTTTCAAATAATAACTTAGGAACAATGTGAAGTCAGATTTAGAAGAGGGTATAAGATGCTGGGATGTGAGTTAGAATGCTGTGGCATCGTCTGATGATAGCTGATGAGGACAGAAACAGGGACAAGAGAAATGAGGATGGAGCCACTGTGGTGCCTAAATTACTTCCCTTTGGTTTCAAAGCTTTTTGCTTTGTTTTTCAGGTGGATCGGCAGCCCCAGTTTATTCAAGGCTACCGTGTGATGTATCGCCAGACCTCGGGCCTGCAGGCCACACCAACATGGCAGAATTTAGATGCTAAAGTCGCAAATGAGCGAAATGCTGTCCTAGTCAATCTGAAAAAGGGGGTAACTTATGAAATTAAAGTTCGACCTTACTTTAATGAGTTCCAAGGAATGGATAGTGAATCCAAAACAGTTCGTACTACCGAAGAAGGTCAGTATTCAGATTCCTAACATGAACCTAACTTAGACCATAATGAAACCAATGTCTGTTGAAGTTGTAGTTTATCATCTTTCTTAGAAGAGTAGCAAGAGAGATGCTAAAAGTGAATCCAGGATGGAGTTTTTTCTCTTTTTGTTCTGAGAATTCCATAAAATCTGACAACTCAAAAAAAAAAAAAAAAGACATTCAAATAATTTGTAAACATTTGTCCCAAATCTTCTTTGTCAGTACATTGGAACTTGATTATAATATTTCTCCATATTTTTTTCCATGGATTAGGCTCACTTGGCTTCATCAAAACAGGCTACTAGAAACTCAAGAGCACAGGCTGTTCATTGTCACGCCTCTTAGAATGACATTTTCTTCTTGAAGTCTTCTTCCCTGTGGCCTCTGCTGATCTGACTCATAATTTCTAATTTAGAATGCCACACGCATGTTTGCAATAGTTTCCTTCTTACAGTTGTTTTCTCCCTTCCCCATTTTGGAACTTTTCTTGCCTGCACTTTAAAGTTAACCTTTGAGAGACATAAATAAATGTAGGTCTCAACCAGTCCATTTACTAGTGTCTTCTTTATTTAACTACATGCTTATAATAAATTCTATCATAAAACTAAAAAAAGTCAGATGCCAAGTAAAATAAATTTCCTACCTTTTCTGTTTTGTACTAATTTTATGTATATGCTCAAATTTTTTTTAAACATACTTTATATAAATTAATATACTAAACTCAAGAAAATGTATATAGTTTGTTCACACTAACGTGTAAATGCTCATTTGTCTAAAGAGCTTTTCAAGTATGCATGCCTTATAATAAGCAACACAATGAAAAGTTTATCTTGACATTGGTTTGCAATGTGATACACTGACAGGCATAAGTGCAGGTTTTTAAAGGCATCACTAATATATGTTTAGGATATGTAAAGAAAAAAGTACTAAAAATTAATAATAGAGTCATCACCATTACATTTTACTTAGGTTGAATAGGTATAGTACTAACAAGTGGGATAACTCAATACAGAATCCCATGTTGAAGTATACTTCCAAAATCAATTCCCCTGCACTTAGACTTTTCCCCTGGATTAGACATTTGTCACCATTGCAGTATGTTCATCTCCGATTTCAGAGACCTTGTGAAGGTAACAAATGGAACTCAACTAGCCTGTGCCTGGGAATGATGAGTGGTGATTTGGGTTCTTTCACATCCATAGAGAGAAGCTGGGCACAGGAATCATTGACCTGTAAGGAAGCAGGCGTGGTGTTCTCTCCACGTCAGCGGAAAGGCCAACAAAAAACTAGCTCTCAGAAGTTATTTTTCAATACAGTCTACTTAATAACGACAAAACTGGTAGACGGTGGTGGGATTTATGTCATCGTGCCACATTTCAGAGCATTATTGTCACACAGAGGAATAATAACGGGTGGTATTGTAGTATGTGTGTGTCCTGCTTCTGAATGTAAATATGACCAGACTTACCAAACATGGGAGACTTTATAGACAGGCTTTAAAATGTATTTTACAACTCAATTGTATATATTTTCAAAGGGCTAAACCATGTAGAGTTATGAAAGCTTTGACCCTTTCACATAATAACCCTTTGAATTTTGTTTTAACTGTAAGGATTTTTATATTGATTTTTCTTTCTTTGGTTTAAACTCAGAGATTCACTGAGAATTCATGCTTTCCATCAGAATTAGTATTTGTTACTTCTCAGATACACTGTATGGGACACTGCAGTATAAAATCAGAAATTCTTTTCACTCACCTTTTCTCAGTGGGATTACAGAGAAACCATAAAGGAAGCAAATGGAAGAAGTTAAAATGTGTCCATGAGACATTTGACCCAACATGAACTGTTTTCATTTCTATCTTCAGAGTTCCTTGCCCATCAATATAAAATAAGTCTGAAATCTTAAATTATGACTCAATTTAGAGCAGTAAATTATTTTTCCCAATATGAAAAGACAAGTATTTTCCATTTGTTGGTATAATTTATAACTGTATCTCTGTTTTTGTTATTAAAATCAAACTAAAATAAATAGGTTGTCAATAATGCCATCACTCAGAGATAATGATTAATAAAATTTTAGATCAAAGTTTTAAAATTAGACATACCTGTGTTCAAATTCTACCCTGTTGCTTTTACCTTCTGAGGTTATTGTGAGAATTAAATCTGACAGCTCTGGGCTAGGTATATAGAAAATACTCATCAGAATGTTAGCTGTTAAATTTATTGTTCAGTACATAGTACTACAGCTATTGTATTTGCTTTAAATCCATCCATTATATTTAAAATATATTTTATAAAAACTGTCACTCTTGAATACTATATGCACAGTTAGAATACTGGAAACCAGAATCTCCTGCTTCTTGTCTTCAGATTTGTATTCTGCAAGCACCATTAATGCACACCAAGACTTACAGTTTGTGTTTATTCTAATTGCTTCTTCTACAGCCCCAAGTGCTCCTCCACAATCTGTCACTGTGCTGACAGTTGGAAGCCACAACAGCACAAGTATTAGTGTTTCCTGGGATCCTCCTCCTCCAGATCATCAGAATGGAATCATTCAAGAATACAAGGTAGGGCCTGCATGAAGGAAGGTTCACAAAGCAGGCTCCCAGGGGAGTCTCAAGAGCACAAGAATGAGGCACATCTTCAGTGTCTCTCTTTTTGAACTTGAATGTAAATTAATATTTACATACTAGAAGCCAGGTGCACAAAATTCGTGCATGGTGGGGAGTCCCCTCAGCCCAGCCTGGACCCTCTCCAATCCTGGACCCCTAGGGGATGTCCCAGGGATCGGGCCTAAACCGGCAGTCGGACATCCCTCTCACAATCCAGGACTGCTGGCTCCTAACTGCTCACCTGCCTGCCTGCCTGGTTGCCCCTTACTGACCCCCATGCTGTCCTGGTCGCCCCCAACTGTACCCCCGGCCAGCCTGGTCACCCCTAACTGCCCTCCCCTGCCAGCCTGGTTCCCCCCAACTGCCCCCCCTGCCAGACTGGTCACCCCACACAGCCTGCTGTTCAGGCATTTGGTCGTCCCTCACTAACCCTCCTGTTGGCCTGGTAGCCCCACACAAACTGCTGTTTGGTCATCCATCTGGTTGTTTCAGTCATGAAGGCCCTGGCTTTTTATAATTAGGACTAGAGGCTCGGTGCACAAAAATTTGTGCACTCGGGGGGGAGGGGGGTCCTCAGCCCGGCCTGTGCTCTCTCACAGTCTGGGACCCCTCGGGAGATAACACCCTGCTGGCTTAGGCCTGCTCCCGGGTGGCAGAGGGCAGGCCCAATCCCTAGGTGCAGCTGTTGGTTGGGCTCAGAGCAGGGCCGATTGGGGAGTTGGGGCGCCTCCCCTGTCATGCACAGAGCAGGGCAGATTGGGAGGTTGCGATGCCACCCTTAGTCATGCTCAGGGTAGGGCCGATTGGGGGGTTGGGGCACCACCCCCTGTCACACTCAAGGCAGGGTCGATGGGGAGGTTGCGGCACCACCCCTGTCACGCACAGAGCAGGGCCCATCAGGGGGTTGAGGAGCTCCCCCCTGTCACTCACAGAGTAGGGCAGATAGGGGAGTTGGGGGACCGCCCGCTGTCACACACAAAGCAAGGCCGATCAGAGGGCTGGGGCGCCGCCACTGTCACACTCAGGGCAGGGCTGATGGGGAGGTTATGGCTCTACCCCATCACACACAGAGCAGGGCCCATGGGGGGGCGGCGGTTGGGGCGCCACCCTCTATCACCAACAGAGCAGGGCCGATCAGGGGGTTGGGGCGCCACCACTCTCACACTCAGGGCAGGGCTGATGGGGAGGTTATGGCTCTACCCTGTCACACACAGAGCATGGCCCTTGGGGGGAGGGGGGGTTAGGGCGCCACACCCTGTCACACACAGAGCCGCAGGGTGATCAGGGGGTTGGGGTGCCTTCCCCTGTCACGAACAGAGCAGGGCAGATAGGGAAGTTGTGGCCCCACCCCCTGTCACACACAGAGCTGCAAGGCGATCAGGGGGTTTGGGCGCTGCCCCCTGTCACACTGATCCCGGTGCTGGGAGGCCTCGCGGCTCCGCTGATCCTGGTGCTGGGAGGCATATTACCCTTTTGCTATATAGGATAGAGGCCTGGTGCATGGGTGGGGCTGGCTGGTTTGCCCTGAAGGGTGTCCTGGATCAGGGTGAGGGTCCCCACTGGGGTGCCTGGCCAGCCTGGGTGAGGGGATGATGGCTGTTTGCAGCTGGTCACACACCCTTCAGGGTGGGGGTCCCCACTGGGGTTCTTGGCCAATCTGGGTGAGGGGCTGAGGGCTGAAGCTCCCAACTGCTCCTTTTTTTCTTTTTTTTTTATTCTGGGCCAGCTTTAGCTCTGAGGCTTGGCTCCAGCTCTGAGGCATCTGCTGCTGAAAGAAGGTATATGGTTTGTTTTGGTTCTATAATCGAAACTCTGTATCAACTCCAGCTCTGAGATCCCGGGCTCGCTGAAAACAGGTTTCTGGGGTTTTGTTTAGCTTCTATATTTGTTACAATGTTTCTTAAACTGCAAGCTCAGAGGCTGGCAAAGCAGGCGGGGAATGTTGGAGTCCTCCATCACTGAAGCAAGCAAGCCTCATGTTAGTTTCAAGCTGCCTGGCTGCCGGCCGCCATCTTGGCTGGCAGTTAATTTGCATATTGCCCTGATTAGCCAATGGGAAGGGTAGAGGTCGTTCGCCAATTACCATGTTTCTCTTTTGTTAGATAGGATTTGAGTGACAGGTAAAACTGTGGTTCTCAATCTTCCTAATGCCGTGACCCTTTAATGCAGTCCCTCATGTTGTGGTGACCCCCAACCATAAAATTATTTTCATTGCTACTTCATAACTGTAATTTTGCTAGTGTTATGAATCGTAATGTAAATATCTGATATGCAGGATGTATTTTCATTGTTACTATTGAACATAATTGTTTCATTGAACATAATTAAAGCATAGTGATTAATCACAAAAACAATATGTAATTATATATGTGTTTTCTGATGGTCTTAGGAGACCCCTGTGTAAAGGTTGTTCGACCCCCAAAGGGGTCGTGACCCATAGGTTGAGAACCGCTGAGATAAAACAACAAATGGATAGGGGATTAGAACCTAAACCTAAAGTCACAGATAACACAAACTCAGTTGCACAAGTAAACCATAATGGTGGAGCAGGGTTTTTTTCTGATTAGATTGTTGTGTAACACACCTTATAGCAGAATTTTTAAATAGTGTTCTCAGAAAAAGATGCTTCCGGGGTTTAGAGTAGTAGGGTATAAATAGGAGGGTGGGCAGCACCAACTCCCACTCTGCTTTTATCTGCTTTTGTTAATGTACTGAAATCTTGCAAAATATATCATTCAAAAATGAAAGCCATTAAATACATTTTGCAAAAACCATGTTTTGAACAAATGGCTGATTATCTTATTTTTCAGCTGAGCTTTTTGCTATTTAGAAACAGTATATATCTGCCGAAACCGGTTTGGCTCAGTGGATAGAGCGTCGGCCTGCGGACTGAAAGGTCCCAGGTTCGATTCCGGTCAAGGGCATGTACCTGGGTTGCGGGCATATCTCCAGTAGGAGATGTGCAGGAGGCAGCTGATCGATGTTTCTCTCTCATCGATGTTTCTAACTCTCTATCTCTCTCCCTTCCTCTCTGTAAAAAATCAATAAAATATATTTAAAAAAAAAAAAAAGAAACAGTATATATCTATTGTTTCTTCATCATCATTTGGTGTTTAAGAGACACAAGATATATAACTGAGAAATAAGATTCTGATTAGGTAATGTAATTAGACCACATTAAAACTTGCAAAAATTTTAAAGCTATACTTTTTGTTATTAATAAATATTTACATAATTCTGACAACCATAACTAGACAGTTCTATTAGAATGGAAAAGTAGACACCTGTTTGACCCCAGGAATTAATATATGGTATGTGAAATTAAGCTGAATTATTTCACACAAAACATTGCAGATTGAATTGTTATTTCTAAGAAAAAATGATAAACTTAGAATATAATTTTTTAAATTAATGGTTAACTTACTGAAACAAATGGGAAGAATGTTCATAAGCACTTAAAATTATTCCCATTACATTATAAAAACACAGGCATAAGAAATATGGGAATAATGTTCTTTTAAATAGGAAAATTAGACAGATTTTAAAGGTTTTTAAGTGTTAGGACACATTGTTTTAAGACCAACAAAAATCTACTATAGTGTGTGCGTGTGTGTGTGTGTGTGTGTGTGTGTGTGACTTTTAATAAGGTTAGCATTTTACTATTGTATAATCTGAGACTAAATATCCTAAAGTTCCATCTACTTAAAAATTGATTTTTTTACAACATGAAAAATTGTGTCACAAATTATAAGCTTTCTCAATTATATGAGATTGAAATATTTTGGTGACAATATATATTTAGGCCAGGACTAAATATTCCTCCAAAGTAACACAGGTATCATAGTGTAAATCAAAAAAAATATACAATTTACAAATATTGTTTTAAAGAATTAGCTTCAGGAAATTTACCTATGTCAGAAATAAACCTTTTATGTTCTTTATATATCTAGATTGTAAAATATTATATAATAAGAATACAAATATATAGAGAGAGCACATTTCTATTTATAACACTTTGCACAGTAACAGATTTCCATATCCAAGAAGAATGTATGCCTTAAAATTTTATTATTACTAGAAGTAAAAGTCCAGCATTCATCACATTAGTATTTAAAGACTTCCCAACACTTTGTTCTCATGCATATGTACTTGTGTGTGAATATATTGATCAATATTAAGATTTATTACTGTCAATGTAAATATTCACTTTAATTTCATCTCAGTCAATACCTATAACTTAAGTCAATTAATCTTGTTAGCTACTTCTGTGTAAGTTAATATTTTCTTAAATGAAATATAAATTACTTAGATGTGCACCTACGTACTTTGAATATTACAACTCACAATCATCATATTTTAATAGATTATATGTATAATAAATCTTGAAAAGTAAATTAAGAAGAGGAATTTATGTTTTAATCCCTATGCAAATGCTCAACCAGGGACCACTGTCTACAGGCATTAAGGAAATTATTGTGTTATGAGAATTCAATGTTGATTATTGGTTATAAAGGAACATGGCAGAGTTTCAGCTTTCCTTATTGTTCTTTCCTTAATACACACATACACACAAAAACACACACTGTATAAATTAGGCTTTAAAAATGTTAATAATAATGTATATAATAAAGAGCTAATATCCAAATGGTTGTCACACCCTCACACTATAATGCTGTAATGGCTCAGACAGTGAACACTGGGGAGAGAGGAATGGAGACTAGTCAGGCACATATGAGCTCATGAGAAAGGAATGGGGACCAGCCAGGCTGTGGCCCGAGAGAGAGACAAGCTGCCTGCCCTGGGCCTGGGCCCCAGCAGCGGGGGCTGCAGCCTGGGAGAGGGACAAGCCACCCACCCCACAGTCCTGAAGGCCAGCGCCTGCGGCTGCAGCCCAGGCAAAGCCACCCACCCACGGTCCCCTGCGGCTGCAGCTGCCCCAGGCGAAGCTGGTCCGGGTCCTGGGTGCCTGTGGCCGGCCAGAGGGAGGGAAGCCCAGGTCCCAGGTGCCTGCGACCAGCTGGTGGAGGGAATCCTGGGTCCCAAGTGTGGGGCAAGGCAGAAGTGCTTAGGGATGAAGAGGCCAGCAGGGGGGCAGTTAGGAGTGATCAGGCTGATAGGGGAGAAATCAGGGTTGATCAGGCAGGCAGGCAGAGGTGGTTAGGAATGATCAGGCAGGCAGACAGGTGAGTGGTTAGGATCCAGCGGTCCCGGATTGCGAGAGGCAGTTGGACATCCCCTGAGGGGTCTTGGATTGGAGAGGGTGCAGGCTGGGCTGAGGGGACCCCCGCCCCCGTGTACCAATTTTGTGCACTGGGCTTCTAGTGCTTCTATAAGCCTAGGAAGCAGTTGATCACTACTAAATATATTTGATCTACTATATTGATCTAATTATGAGAAAGGATAAGTCTATCTTCTTTTGTTATTCACTTTACATTTCTGTAGATCTGGTGTCTGGGAAATGAAACACGATTTCATATCAACAAAAGTGTGGATGCAGCCATTCGATCTGTAATAATTGGAGGATTATTCCCAGGTATTCAATACCGGGTAGAGGTTGCAGCAAGTACCAGTGCAGGGGTTGGAGTGAAAAGTGAACCACAACCAATAATAATCGGTGAGTACCAACCTATGTAGTCTGTGTATAATTAGTTAGCTGGTGGCACGTAGATTATTTTTTGAATCTCCTTCCTGAGAGTGGATATGCAGTAATGAATGAGAGGCTACACACATCATACAGGCAAATGGGTTAGCTGACTAGAGTTTCTTACAAAAATGATTAGCCATTGCTCATACTGTTAAGACTCCCATAAACTTCTTAAAATTATAATTACTGAGTTTAACTGGTGAAAGCTTGTTTGAAAAGTATTTTTAATCAATAGTTTCATTAGTAATGTTGATACCAATCTATACATATATAAACCCTAAGTGACTGGTCGACTGGTCGCTATGACAAGCACTGACCACCAGGGGGCAGACGCTCAATGCAGGAGTTGCTCCCTAGTGGTCAGTGCACTCCCACAGCAAGAGTGCCACTCACCTGACCAATCGACGGCGCCAGACGCCAGGCTCATGGTTGGTGAGCGCAGGTGGCATGAGCCTCTCCCACCTCCATGGCAGTGCTACTGAGCGGCAGCAGGAGGCAGCAGTAGGCACAGCAGGGCCGAGATGAGTGGAAACAGCTCGGTGCCCAGCCCAGGCTCATGCTCCTACTTGGCTGCCTGCCGCTTCACACTCTACTATATCCCCTGAGAGGTCCCAGTTTGAGAGAGGGTATAGGCCACGCTAAGGGACCCTATCGGTGCATGAATCTGTGCACTGGGCCTCTAGTGAAATATAATAAGAAATGAGGCACATATGGAAGAAAGTGCTTTCCCTTAGCCAAAAAAAAAAAAAAAAAAAAAAAAAAGGTCAAATTTAACAAGAGACGGGCCAAAATAAACTTTGTAATCTATATATACTATCCTGAAGAAGAAATCCCTATTAAATCTATTATCATTATTACAGAAAATTGTTACCAATAACTATGGATATCTTTGCCTGTTCTTAAAATATATATAAATGGAATGGTGCAGAACATAATATTTTACATCTGGCTTCTTTCACTAAACATAATGTCATATATGTATATATATATAGCAATTAATATGTTTTAATTCTGAGCAGTATTAATTTGTGTGAATATATCATATATTATTTGTTTTCTCTTCAGAAAATGAACATTCTTGTGTAAGCCAAGTTGAGAACATTTTTTTTTTCCTTGAGAGAAATAACTAAAGTGTAATGTCTGGATAACAGGATTGAAATACTTTGATTTTATAAAAGACTTTACACAATTTTTTCCAAATTGCATACTTTTATAGAATCACTAGCAAAGAATATTATTTCCAATATTTCCATATTGTACCAACATGTGATGTTGCCTGTCTGTAATTTTAGCCATTCTTGTGAGTATAAAAAGTACTCACTTCAGTTTTCTTTGATGACTAAAAATGGTGAGCAAGTTCACATGTGCATATTAGATATTCACATTTTTTTTTTGTAAAATGTCTAAATCTTTAACTTTTTAAAAGTATGTTGTTTGCCTCCTGCTACTGATTAGAAGGAATTATATAACCACTCCATATACAAATTCTTTGTCATGTATTTGTATTGCAAATATTTTTTTGTTTATGACTTCTCTATTCATTTTTTAATAATCTTTTGATGAGCAAGTTTTAAATTTTAGTGAATTACAGTTGATCAAACTAATTTTTTACGTTTAGTGCTTCTTAGGAAATTGTGTCCTGCCTCTAGAAAGTGAAGATATTGTCTTATATTTTCTTCTACAAGCTTTATAATTTTAACTTTTATGCTTAAGTATATAATTTCTCTTCAAGTAATTACATGTGGTGTGAGGGTTGAGGCTTATTTATTTCCAAGTATATATCAAATTGCATTGGCATCATTTATTAACTTGCCTTTCCCCAGTTAACCATATATGTATGGATCCATTCCTGAATTCCCTGTGCTGTTCCATGTCTTTATTATATATCTGTCCATCTGCCAAACCACTGTTTTGATTACTGTAGCTTATAGAAAGTCATGAGATCCGGTAATGTGAACGCTCCATTATTTTCTCCTGCAAAATTGTTTTGGCAGAAGAACTGTTTCAAAGCATCTTGTCAGTTTCTACACAATATTGTTGGAATTGTTTCTTGAAAACACAGTGAATCTATACATTAAATTGGAGAGATTAAACTTTTTTTATTGTTGAGAGATTAAGCATTTAAATAGTGAGTTATTCTCTCCAAAAATATGATGTATCTCTTTATCATTTACCTTTAATTTCTCTCAACAATATTTTGTCATTTTCAGAGTATGGTTGTATTAAACTTTTTTTCTGAGTATTTGATTATTTTTACACTAATTGGGTTCATAAAATTTTCTCAACTATTCTATATTATATATAAATTTAATTTAATATGTTGTTCTGTTATCACTTTATTAACTTCACTTATTTACTTTAATAGTTATGAACTACTTCTTATGCATATATTTGAAAAATCATCTGTTTTCTTTCTCCTTATCTGTGTTAATATGGTCAATTCTATTGACTGGTTTCAAAGATAAACTTTGCTTTGCAAACCCCAATTGGTCAGGATATATTATGCTTTTTACATATATTACTTAATCTGATTTGCTAATATTTTATAAAGAACTAGAGAGCCTGTGCATGAAATTTGTGCACTGGGGGGTGGGGTTGGGGGAGGGTCCCTTAGCCTGGCCTGTGCCCTCTCACAGTCCGGGATCCCTCTCACAGTCTGGGACCCCTCGCTCCTTACCACCTGCCTACTCACTGTTCCTTATCTCTTGGCTCACTGGTCCTTAGCGCTACCACAGAGGCGGGAGAGGCTCCTGCCACTGCCGCTGCACTAGCCAGCTGTGAGCCTGGCTCCTGGCTGAGCAGTGCTTCCCCTGTGGGAGCACACTGACCACAGGGACCTCTCTCGTGTTGAGCGTCTGCCCCTTGGTGGTATGTGCACGTCATAGCAACCAGTCCTTCCGCTGGTCCTTCTGCAGTTCGGTTGATTTGCATACTAGGCTTTTAATATATAGGATTTGTGTGAACGCTTATATATTAAAGATACTAAGTATTTATCAAATATTTGCTGCAAATACATTTTTCCCAGTCTGTCTTTTAAAATCTAGGCTCATTAGCATTTTCCCCTGTAGCTACATGGATTCCTTTAGATGCCTGTTTTCTTCCTCATTGGAATTCTATGTTATTTTTATTGCTATAATTTCTTTTTTTTAAAGAGTCTCTTATTCTTGTTGAGTTATGTTTTCTTCTAGTTTGCAGCCATGGGACCATAATGGCTTCACCTCTAACTTTATTTTTTACAATGTGTTTTCATTTATTTGAGAGAGAGAGAGGAAGAGAGAAAGAAAAAAACATTGAGCCCACAATCTGGGCATGTGCCCAGACAGGGAACCTAACCAGCAACCTACTGGTATACAGGACAGACATCCAGGCCCAGGCCTCAGGCTTTTTACTCTTTGTTGTTCATGCTTATAGGAGGCAAAGGTCCTTCACAGGTGGTTTATTATGCTAATGAGCTCACAGTTTCTGAAAGAGGCTGAAGATTCTCCTTCAGGGTTTTCACAGGACAGTGGCACCTCTCAGAACCCCTACTCCTAGGAGACTCGCCTTTCAACAGTAATAACAGAACAGCTGACACTGAATGGCCACTTAAAACAGGTCCCAGCACTCTTCTAAGTGCTTCACCTGGTGACCTGGCTTGATCAACAAGCCCAGGAGACCGGCACTATATTCCCAGCTTTCAGATGAGAAAACAAAGGTGTCGAGTGATTAAGTGATTCGCCAAAGAGCAGGGCAGAGCTGGGAGGCACATGGGGAACAGGTGTGCACACAGATGACCAGGGATTCCCAGCGTGAGTGACAACTGAGGCAGGACAGGACAGTGCCGGGAAGAGAGGGAAGGCAGCAGTATTGCCCGGGAGACCCAGGGAGCACATGCTGGGACCCAGCTGGACTCCTGACCCTCAGGGGTTTCATATTGCAGAGCCATCTTGCCCGGGAATCGGGAATCCGGTTCTCCCAGGGCCCCCAGGACACAGAGCAGGCAATTTCCACACCTGCCTACATTGCTAGTTAAACATGGGTTCATCAGCCCAGGGAGGGCAGAGGGCAGATAATCACAGTGGCAACAGTGAGGCTTAGCACCTATCAAGCACCGGGCTGAGAGCCTTATGTGCACAATCTCATGCACACCTGTAACATTCCACTGAGGCTGGTACTATCATCATACCCATTTTCTAGATGAAGAAACCGAGGCTCAGAGAGGTTACACAGGTCTAACTGGCAGAGTCTGTGTGACTCCAAAGTCACCATGTCCCTCTGCTACCCACAACCCTTGGTTGGGTGGCGTTGCTAAGTCCAGCTTTCCTCTCCCTCTTGTTCTGGGGCACCCGATGATCAGCAGGGCTGAGCAGAGGAGGAGAGACGGGTCTCCGAGGGACCCAACAGGGGACCTGGCCATTATTTCTCTAGAGCCCAGTGATAAAGAGTCAATAAGGAAAAAGACTTGCCATGTCCAGGCTGTTCTATTGTATCTTCTTCCTACTAATGGAAACTGGTTTGTCATGGGCGATGAGAGCCTGTGGGCCGAGGGAAAGGGACCAAGAGGTCGGCCATTCTCCCCTCTCTGGCCTTGCCCTTTGCGCTGGTTGACCTCTGTGTGTGGGGTGATTGGGGGCGGGGCCTTGGGCTGGCACTTTCTCATGCCCCACCCTCCACCCAGGGTTCCCCCAGTTTCCCATTGGCCATTAGGGATGGGAGCCTGAAGGCCAGGGAGAGGGACTGAGAGGTCAGAGAGGCCCCCCTTTCCCACACGCTGGGGGTGGGGGGGGGGGCTTGCAGGGCAGAGGCCTTGGCCTGGCATGGCCCGTGTCCCCTGCCACCCACCCCTGGCTCCCCATTCTCCATTGGGGGATGGGAGCTGCCCGCTAGGGAAGGGACCCAGAGGGAGAATGATCGTTCTTGCTGCCACACCCCAGTGTCCCAGCGCCCACTGTTAGGTCGTCCAAATGGTCCTGACACCCTAGGCTATTATT